ACATTGTGTCATTAGTTTTTGCTGGCCTTTTCTTATCTTTTTCTAGATACGTACTTTCTACCAACATATTTTTACAGTTGATATATGTACATCTGAAAATAGCCACTTAGATTTTGTCTTAAAATACTTGTTGGTCATTGTCAAGAATATTCTGTATCTGAGAGAAAATTATATTGTCCTGATTTAGAATAAGGGAAAAAACTGTGCATATTTCTTCTGCATCCCAGATGAGATTCATTAATGCAGATACCCTGACATCTATGGCAGATATAAAAATACTGTGTCGTTTACTTACAATTGTATATTGGACTGTAAAGAATGTTTGAGTTTATGTTCATTCAAAATTTCATTTATCGTGGGACTCTGTGTGCTATTATATTACTTGCTTTTAAGTAAGAAATTCCCATTACAAAATATCTAAACACTGTTAACCAAGTTATCCTTTTACAGGAACCTTACATAAACAAGTCAGCTGTGGCTGTCCAAAGCCATTTTTCACTTCATCGAACATATGTTCTATTTCGGACTCTGGGACTTCGCCATCTCACTGTGGTTGATCTTCAGAATCGGGCAGTTGGAATGATCACCAGAAAGGACCTCATATCATTTCAGCTGGAGAAGGTGCTGATTAAATTGGACTCTGGGAAACTGGATTCCGATGAAGAACTCTTAAAGTAGAACCTAATGAGTGGTGTTGTAGGACCACAGTGAAAGGATTTAACCATTAATATCATGGCTATTGTGCAGAGTGTAATACCATAGTAGAATTCAGTAATATTGTTGAATTAACACAGGAGGTAACAATTCAATAATAATAAAAAAAATCTCTGTGTCATAATATACATTCAATAACTATGAAAATACAATTAATGACACGTTTAATTCCAAATTTAATTTGTAGTCATTAAATGTACGTTTCCTCACAACTGGCACTGCATCTAACATATACAAGTGCACTATAAAGGATTTTTACAGATGGCAAAATGTTTATATATCTATTTATTAACCCCTTTGTGGCCAAGGCTGTTTTGTGATTTCATGCATTTGGGACGGAAGCTCTTTTGTTATGTGTTTGTTTCACTGTAATTTAATGATTTCTATTTAAGTGAACATATACATATTGTAACAGCACCCCCAGGCATAAAAGGGTTAAACCGCCGTTTAGTAGATCTTCCCCTTCCAGAGATACAGGCACAGCTACTGCAGAACACCAAACTCCCGAACCGCATATAAGGGAATGCTCTAAACTCCCGAACTGCATACAATATAGCACTCCAAACTCCCGAACTGAAACCTCACGAATAGCTGCTAGCAGACGAATAGGAAAAGCACCCAAGCGGCTTACACTCCTAGCAATCAGTCTCTATCAGCATACAGTAAATCCCCCCAAAGATGAGACAGAGCTCCGTGTTGAGGGTCAAGCAGTGGTCTGTTTAATAAGGGCTACCTGCCCAGTATTTATGCAGGTCTCCCACCTGGTGGACACTCCCCTAGGGGACCAAATGGGAGACTGGGACACAAATAGTACAATGACCAATCACAGGCAGATGATTAAAACACTCCCCCAATACATTACAATCCCTCCCCTCTATCCTGGAGATAACTGGGAAGTAATCCAATTATCTCCAAGGACAGAAGCAAAACTCCATTACCCACATGGTTACAGTAAAACAGTAAAACACAATAAAATACACAATATTACATTTATCACACAAAATATATACTTGCAACCCATCCCCAGATAGCTGGGATCTGAGCGCACAAAAGTACCAAATAGCGCTCAGATCCTATGCACACAGTCCAATCGCCGTGGAGTTAAAGTGTTCCTAAAGTCTGTTCTCCATACGAATAGACTCCATGGGATGGCTATCTGGGGTAATGCTGTTCATACGGTTTAATCTACCGAATGAACAGGCATTCGGTTAACTGACCGAATGCAGAAGCAAGAAGGCTGACGGCTCAGCGGTGTTCGCACACATAAGTGTCCGTTTACAGTTCCACAGTTTGGGCGCTGAACACTGCTGGCCGTTTGGGACTTTAAAATGGCCGCCGCCACGTGTTCGGCAACCGAACAAAGGCCACTCAGCATTCGTCAATTAAGCTGCGGTTCACTGCAGCTTCTGGGAGGTTAATTTCCGACACACTCCAGCTCCCAGGTGGTCCAGTCATTCATGCGTTAGTTCGGTAGATTGAATCTACCGACCGCCGGGCAGAAAGGCACGAATAAGCCTTTTCTGCAGGGGAAAAGAAGTCTTTTAACATGGGGCCATAATCCAAAGGCAACAGGCGAGCAACCAGGCTTCTCCAATGCAATGTGGCGAGATTGGTCTCGTCACACATATAATATCTTGTTTTTTTAAAGGAAAGATATAAACTTCTTCTGATACTCCAAATGTATAGATAAGACACTATTAAATATGAATTTGAATAAAACCACACAACGAATTGTGGAAACGTAAATGAATATATAAATTAAACCCCACATACATACTGCTTAACTATGAAAACCCGTAATATGACACACAAATGTAAAACAAAATTGTAGGTGTTATTAGTGATATTGCAGAAGGTCTTGATGGTAAGGTATGTCTTTTTGCTGATGATACTAAGATCTGTAACAGGGTTGATGTTCCAGGAGGGATAAGCCAAATGACAAATGATTTAGCTAAACTAGAAAAATGGTCAGAATTGTGGCAACTGACATTTAATGTGGATAAGTGCAAGATAATGCATCTTGGACGTAAAAACCCAAGGGCAGAGTACAGAATATTTGATAGAGTCCTAACCTCAACATATGAGGAAAGGGATTTAGGGGTGATTATTTCTGATGACTTAAAGGTAGGCAGACAATGTAATAGAGCAGCAGGAAATGCTAGCAGAATGCTTGGTTGTATAGGGAGAGGTATTAGCAGTAGAAAGAGGGAAGTGCTCATGCCATTGTACAGAACACTGGTGAGACCTCACTTGGAGTATTGTACACAGTACTGGAGACCGTATCTTCAGAAGGATATTGATACCTTAGAGAGGGTTCAGAGAAGGGCTACTAAACTGGTTCATGGATTGCGGGATAAAACTTACCAGGAAAGGTTAAAGGATCTTAACATGTATAGCTTGGAGGAAAGACGAGACAGGGGGGATATGATAGAAACATTTAAATATATAAAGGGAATCAACACAGTAAAGGAGGAGACTATATTTAAAAGAAGAAAAACTACCACAACAAGAGGACATAGTCTTAAATTAGAGGGACAAAGGTTTAAAAATAATATCAGGAAGTATTACTTTACTGAGAGGGTAGTGGATGCATGGAATAGCCTTCCAGCTGAAGTGGTAGAGGTTAACACAGTAAAGGAGTTTAAGCATGCGTGGGATAGGCATAAGGCTATCCTAACTATAAGATAAGACTAGGGACTAATGAAAGTATTTAGAAAATTGGGCAGACTAGATGGGCCGAATGGTTCTTATCTGCCGTCACATTCTATGTTTCTATGTTTCTATGTTTCTAAGTATATTATATCAAAACCACCCTTTATGGAAATAACCAAATATAAAAAAATAGACCAATAAAATGAATACTATGGAATACCATGAAGAACCTACAATGGCTGTGCATTCAATCTTCACAATCTTTCATTAGCTTGAAAAATTCAGAATAAAAATATACATTATGTAAAGCTGTTACATTAATTAAAATGTTTTCATAAAATACAGCATACTTACAAACAAGGTTAAGCAGCGCTAAAAGCACATTATGGTCCCTTGGACTTTATCTGGCGATCACCGTTCCAAGTGCCTTTCCCAATATGACTACAGGTCCGAATCCTGAGTATTTAGGGAGAAACTCTTTCGTACCATGGTACCTATGGCTCCTCTCCCAGTTAAGGTGTGACTAATGCTGAGTGAAGCAGGCAGTAATAGGCTGAGAGCGCTACGTTGATAATTTCATCTATTAATGCCACCCATCTTTGATCAAGTGAAGTAAAGCAGACAGTGATATATAATAAAAACAAAGAGAGCGTTACCTGCACTCTGGCCTAAATCCCCATGTACATTTAAACAAAATGGAGGCTCTTTAGTTTTATCCCAATGGCCATTTGAATATATAATCTTACCTGCCACGTCAAGGCAAGCCTCAATAGGTGAGTTCCTACACTAGCCATTAGATATGCTGATATCAGCCAAGGATCTCCAGTAAGACAGGAAGGGGTATTTTATAAACCCTTTCACATTTAACCCTTTATAGGGCTTCTACACATACAATAAACTTTGCTGGTATCAGACAAAGTGTAAACATCTCTAATGAGACAGGAAGGGGTATTTTATAAACCCTTTCACATTTAACCCTTTATAGGGCTTCTACACTTACAATACCAGCAAAGTTTATTGTATGTGTGATACCAGCAAAGTTTATTGTATGTGTAGAAGCCCTATAAAGGGTTAAATGTGACAGGGTTTATAAAATACCCCTTCCTGTCTTACTGGAGATCCTTGGCTGATATCAGCATATCTAATGGCTAGTGTAGGACTCACCTATTGAGGCTTGCCTTGACGTGGCAGATGAGCCATTGGAATAAAACTAAAGAGCCTCCATTTTGTTTAAATGCACATGGGGATTTAGGCCAGAGTGCAGGTAACGTTCTCTTTGTTTTTATTATGTATTTTAAGCTGTTAGATACTAAGCTACTGCTGCTGTAAGCGCGGTGCTTTATCTTTGTGTTTAGACAGTGATATATAGTTGGACACAAAAGAGAAGAAAACCCTGTCCGATGGGCTTCAATCCAATGCCTGCTGCAAGTCCGACAAATTGCAATTTTATAACCAACCTCTACCACAAGTGCTGGTTATATTTAATTATTTTCGTGCTTTTCACACGTTTCACTTAGTGAGGATTTTTAAAGATCACAAGTGTCCCACAACTGTAAAGACCCATATTTATATTCTGCTACTGGAGTTGAGTACAGCAATATCTCCAATGTACACCTTTGCAAGATTTTTGACAAGTTCTAAAATCACATTACAGACGTGCAAGCTTCAGTTTTGTTTTTTTTCCAATTTTCTGCGATTTTATGTAACTTTTTGAACAAAATAGAAGCCCGTTATGGACCTTTACCTCTACCAAGGTGTTGCAAAGAAGACAACTTCTATTTAACATGGGACAATTTGGTAGGCTTTTTCATCACCAGTTTCTCCTGAATGCCAGATTTTTGGGGAGCTTATAGAGTTAAATTAAATACATTCCCCAATATTGGCATGCTTTGGTGTTTGCTTTGCAGAGAGACTATTTGTTGAAGTGACATTATCTGTGTCACCCTACTGACCAGTGTCAAATAATGATGCTCTTTCTAACCCTTGATAGCTCTAACCCTACATAACCCTATCTACTCCTAAATCTATCTACCCTTAGCTTAACCCACTAACCATGACCCTAGCTAAAATGAACCCTAACTGTGCACTGTTTAGTTTAGTTTAGTTTATAGGTCTCCATGATGAATGATTGCTGTGAGAACCAATCACAGCGATGTCAAGCTTTAGGTGACAGTTTAGGTTTGTTTTTATTCCTATTAGATTTTATAAAGCGTGAACGTATTCCACAATGCTTTACTAAAAAGATGGGAATATTTGACAACAACAAATAATTATCATACAGAATATAGCAGAGTCAAGAAGTTAAGAAGGCGCTTCTCAAACAAGCTTACAATCTATAAGGAATGGGCAAAGACACACCAGAGATATAACAGCATGTCAGAGGGGGTATGTATTGATAGATAAGAAGCCTGTGTTGAAATATGCCAGTAAAAGAGCATGTGGAAGAACCAAACAGTGGCAGGGGAGAGAGTGAGCTGCGCTGTGAAGGCAAGGCGAATGATTAAGCAGCAAGTGAGAAAAACGTCACCTAAAAACATGCTAAGCTTTCCTGAAGAGATGTGCTTCCAGCAGTGGCGGCTCTAGACTTGCTGAGGCCTTAGGCGAAACTCATACATGAGGCCCCCACTAACACTATTATTGAAAAAAATAGCAGTTGATTTGTGTGTGTATAAGAAGCTGTAGATATACTGAAGGGGGAGCTTGCAGCTCTGTATATAGTGAGCTAGTCTTTGTATACATCGTTGCATTGTCTACCTGTGTGTGTCTGGCAGTGAGGATCCTTGTGTATGTATGTATGTTTCTCTGAGCATGTGTATGTTTGTGTACTGCCTGTGGCCTTTGGCACTGAGTTTATGGCGAAGCTATGTTTTATAACCGTGTGTATAATTATTGCCTTCAGGGGGTGGCAGGGTGAATAAAGGGGTAACTGGGGCAGGGTGAGTGTAAAAGAGCAGGAGGGTACCAGAGTGTATGGAGGTGGGTGCCAGAGTGTTGAGGGTTGACAATGAGAATGAAGGGAGGTGCCTGTGTGTTTGGAGGAAGAGACAGTGTGTATGGAGGGGGGTGACAATGTGTATGGAGGGGTGACAGTGTGCGCCGAGTGGGGTGTCAGTGTGCGCCGAGAGGGGTGTCAGAGTGTGTGGGGAAAATGACACAGTGTGAGGGGTGGTGACAGAGTGTGAGGGTTACATTAGTGTAAGGGGTGTGATAAAGTGAGAGGAAGGGTGACATAGTGAAGGTGGGTAACAGAGTAAGAGGGGAGTGTCAGAGTAAGAGGGTGGGTGACATAGTGTGATGGGGGTGACAGAGTGAGAGGGAGGGTGACAGAATAAGAGGGGGTGACATAGTGTGAGGGGGTGTAAGTGTGAGGTGGGGTGACCTAGTGTGTGGGGAGCGACAGAGTGAGGTGACAGAGTACGGGTGGGTGACAGTGTGGGGGGTCACAGGGTGAGTGACAGAGTAAGAGGGGGTGACAGGGTGAGAAGGGGTGTGACCGTGTGAGAGGGTGAGACCTAGTGTGAGAGGGGGTGACATAGTGAGAGAGGGTTACATTAGTGTAAGGGGGGTGACAGAGTGAGAGGAAGCGTGACATAGTGAAGGTGGGTAACAGAGTAAGAGGGGGGTGTCAGAGTAAGAGGGGGGTGACATAGTGAGAGGGAGGGTGACAGAGTGTGGCAGAATAAGAGGGGTGACATAGTGTGAGGGGGTGAAAGTGTGAGGTGGGGTGACCTAGTGTGTAGGGAGCGACAGAGTGAGGTGGCAGAGTACGGGTGGGTGACAGTTTGGGGGGTCACAGGGTGGGTGACAGAGTAAGAGTGGGTGACAGGGTGAGAGGAGGGTGACAGGGTGTGACCTAGTGTGTGAGGGGGGGAGACCTAGTGTGTGAGGGAGGGTGACATAATGTAGGGGGGTGACAGTGTGAAGGGGTGGCATAGTTTGAGAGGGGTGTGAGGGGGGAGACCTAGTGTGAGAGAAGGGAGACCTACTGTGAGACAGTGGCGGATCCAGAGCCTGATCTCGGGAGGTTCACTTGTAGATTATTTAAAGAAATAATCCAGACACAATAACCACTAAAGCTCAGTGTAGTGGTTATGGTGTCAATAGTGCCGGGACCCCCTCCCAGAGTAAGTAGTCAAAATGTTTAAGAACAGTTTGACAATTTACCTAAGGTCTGCTGGGAAATGGGGCAGTAGTAGGGCATGGGAGCAGTGGTGTGTGTGAGTGGTGCAATGTGTAAGGGGTGCAGTGTGTGTGTGTGTATGAGAGAGAGGGGGACAGTGTGTGAGCAGTGTGTGTGTGTGAAGGTTGTAGTGTGTGTGAGGGCGGCAGTGTATGTTTGGGACAGTATGTGTGTGTAACAGTTGCAGTGTATGTGTGAGTGTGGGCAATGTGTGTGTATGGGGCGGCAGTGTATGAGGGCAGTGTGTGTGTATGTATCGGGTAATGTATGTGTGTAGAGTGTGTGTGTATGGGGGGCAGTGTGTGTGCATGGGGAGCAGTATGGGAAGCAGTGTGTGAATGGGGGGCAGTGTGTGTGCATGGGGAGCAGTATGTGTATGGGGGGCGGTGTGTGTGTAGAGTGTGTGTGTGTGTGATAAGGGTAGGGGGGCTTTTTTCTTCTTCTTACCTTTACTGGGGGGGAGAGGGGACGTTTTCCTGGTGGTCCAGTGTTGATTCCCTGGTGGTCCCAGTGGGGAGAGTTCACTCTTGCGAGATTTGGAGCGTTGCCGTGGTAACCGAGAGGAGGACCGGAGGTGACAGAGTGAGAAGTGGGGTGGCAGGGTAAGAGGGGGTGACAGGTGGGGTTAGAAGTGGTGACAGGGGGTGACGTGGGGTGGCATGGTGGGATGGCAGGGTGACAGGTGGTGAGGGAGTGACAGGGTGAGTGTGGGTGAAAGAGTTGGAGGTGGGGTGAGGGGAGTGACATGGTGAGAGGGGGTGACAGGTGGGGTGAGAAGAGGTGACAGGGGGTGATAGGTGGGATGGCAGGGTGAGAGGGGGTGACAGGTGGGGTGGGGTGACAGGGGGAGGGGGTGGCAGGGGTGACACGGGGTGACAGGTGGGGGTGGCAGGCAGGGTGGGTGGGGCGACAGGAGGGGTGGCAGGGTGACAGGTGGGGTGGCAGGGTGACAGGTGGGGTGGCAGATGGGGTTTCAGGGTGAGGGGGTGGCAGGGTGACAGATGGGGTGACGTGGGGTGACAGGGTTAGGGGGTGGCAGTGTGACAGGTGGGGTGGCAGGTACCTTTTTCCCTGGTGGTCCAGTGGTGGCAGACTCCCTGGTGGTCCAGTGGGCTCTCCGGTCTGCAGCTCTGCTGGATGCAGAGCTGCAGACCACATGGTGAATGTCTCGCGATCTCCAGTCAGAGCGTTGCCGTGGTAACCCGCAGCAACGCTCTGATTGGCTGGAGATTGCAAGACACTTCAGTCTGCAACTCACACCCGGCGGAGCTGCAGACTGAAGGCTGGCTCTCCCGGGCAGACTGACAGGAGGGGCCTCGCACCTGGCGGCATACAGGGCAAGCCGCCGGGTCCCCTCCTGTGTCGGGTCCTCGAGGACCCGACATGTCAGTCTGCCCTATGGCGGTTTAGGCGGCCGCGAGGCCCCACACAGCGCGAGGCATTAGGCGGCCGCCTAAACCGCCTAATTAGAGAGCCGCCTCTGGTTTCCAGTGGAGGCTTGAGGCTATGGGAGAGTCTGATGTCAAAGGGTAATGAATTCCTAAAGAACGGGACTGCTCTTGAAACATTCTACAAATTATAGTTGACAGTGCAGAAGCGAGCAGGTGTCAGGAGAAGGTAATTTGAGGAGTGAAGAGCACAAGAAGCGGTGTATTTTCGAGTAAAGAAGAAATGTAGTGTGGAGTGTAGTTAGTGAGAGCAGGTTTGCAGGTTCGTGTTATCAGTTTGAATTGGATCCTAAATGTTACAGGAAGCCAATGTAATGATTGGAAAAAGGGTGAGGCTTGGGAATAGCGGTCAGTCAGGAAGATGAGACTGGCCGTAGAATTCATTACAGACTGAAGAGAGGTCATTGCGGGTATTTGAAAGGTCAATGAGTAGAGAGTTGCAATGGTCAAATTGGGAAATGATGAGTGCATGAACAAGTGCCTTAGTTATATATTGAGTTAGAAAAGAACAAATTTGAGCAATATTTTTAAGGTGAAAGCTACAGGATTAGGAGGCAGACTGAGGAGAAAAGGTAAGACATGAGTGGAAAGTAACACCAACACAAGCTTGAGGGGATGGGAAAAAAATTGTCTTGGGCATTTTTTAATCACAGCGGTGTGTCTATAAATGGGATACCAGGAGACAAAAGGGCCAGGAAAAAATATTGTGCATGTGTTTTGAGTCTGCTTGTGTGATTGCGTGTGTGTAGAGTGAGCTGATTGTGGTGTGGTATTGTGTAAATAGGTTTTCAGTCGTGTTGCGTTTGTGGTGTAATGTAATGCATGTGTGGCTATAATGTAATGCATGTGTGGTAAAGAGTGTGCATATAGGGGACATAGTGTATACAGGGGATGTAGCAAGTGTGTGCATACAGGCTGTAGTGTGTGTGTATACGTGATGTAGTGTGTGTAGGGATTGTAGAGAGTGTGTGTTTAGGGAATGTTGTATGTGTTTGCTTACAAGGAATCAAGTGTTTGCATAGGGGATCCAGAGTGTGTATGTCAGGAATGTAGTGTTTGTAGGTGGTGCAGTGTGTGTCAAGGGGTCTAGTGTGTGTTTGAAGGACCCATAATGTGTATAGGAGATCTAGTGAGTGTGTGTATATAGAGGATTCAGAGTGTACATAGGAATCAAATGTGTGTATGTGTGTAGACCATCCAGAGTTGGATAAGGGATCTAGTGTGTGTGTAATGTCTTTAGGGCTGCAGTATGTGTGTGAGGGGTGCAGTGTGTGTGGGGTGCTGTAGTATACATATATTTTGTGTGTTTGTGTGATGCGCAGTGTGTTTGTGGGGTTCTGTGTGTATGTGTGAAGGGTGCAGTGTGTGTGCGAGGGGTAAGGTGAGCATGTGAGGGGTGCAGTGTGTGTGAGGGGTACAGTGTGTGTGAGAGATGCTGTGAGTGTGAGGGGTGCAGTGTGTGTGATAAGGGTGCAGTGTGTGAGAGTCAGCGTGGTGTGTGTGAGAATGCTGTATGTGTGAGAGTGTTGTGTGTGTGTGTGTGTGAGGGTGCTGTGTGTGTGAGAGTGCTGTATGTAAGGGTGCTGTGTGTGAGAGTGTTGTGTGTGTGAGGGTGCTGTGTGTGTGATAGTGCTGTGTGTGTGTGTGTGTGAGAGTGCTATGTGTGTGTATATATTTGGAAGGATTGTGTATTGGGGAGGCAGATTAATGATACTATATATGTATTTTTTTATTTAAAAAAATAAAAACTGGCATTGTATCCCACCTCCATTCTTACCTTATGCCTGGGAGGTGGACCGTGCTGCAATCCCTGGTGCTCCTAGTGTTGAATAAACTCTAGACTGAGAGGCTAGAGTTCACTCTCTAGCGATCAGGGGTGTTGCCATGGCAACGCTTCGACCTCACGAGAGGAACCCGGCGGAGCTGCAAGATAGAGCTCCTCCGGGTCCTCTCCTGTCTCCTTCCCCGCTGGCAACCGCATTACACTGCATGTGGGCTGGTGAGGGAGGTCTTTCTCTCCCCACTGGCCCATCATGGGATAGAGTAAGGCCGGTGCTCGGATAGCGTGAGCCCTACATAGCGTGAGATCCTGTGACCTGCCCTGCATGGACCAGCTGGGGAGATCCTGTGCCCTGCCCTGCATGGCCTGGCTGAGGAGATCCTGTGACCTCCCCTGCCGGCCTCGGCCCATAGCCATCACAGGACCACCGGGCATTTGCCCATTGTGCTTGATGGCCAGTCTGGACCTGGTTGGGATAATGGATGACTTGCAGAGAGATTGATGGAGGAGGGCTATTTAAGGGAGGAAAGATGTCGAGTTCAGTCTTAGAAAGTTTAAGCTTTAGATAAAGGGAAAACATCCAGTTAGTAATGAAAGAGAGGCAGTTTGTGATGCTTTCCAGAAGAGCAGAAGAGAGGTTAGGGGAGGAAAGGAAAACCTGAGTATCATCAGCATATAGATGGTAATAAAATAAAAATTAGTTACTAAGGTTATTGAGAGAGGAAGTGGGGAGCAAGTGATTTTGCAGTGATTAAGTTTAGTCACTTTGGTAAGGGCAGCTTCAGTAGAATGGAGGGAGCATTAGCTAGATTGAAGAGAGTCAAGGAGATAATATTGAAAAAGTTAGTTAGACTTGTAAATACCACCCGCTCAAGATGTTTATAAGTAAAGGGGAGTGTGGTATGGGGTGATAGTTAGAAGGAGAGGTAGGGTCAGGGGATGGCATTTTTAGGATGGAATTAACAATTGCATGGTTGAGGGAAGAGGGAAAAAGTCCAGTAGACAAAGAAAGATTGAAAATTAGTGTTGGGACCAGACTATGGGAAAAAGATCGGTAAAGGGTAGGGTGGGATCAGTGGCGGCTCTAGACTTTGTTAGGCCTTAGGTGAAACTCAAACATGAGAAGACAGGGGGTTGGGGGGTGGAGGAACAGTGACAGGAGGTAGGGGGTGGAGGGGCAGTGGAGGGGGTGGAGGAGCAGTGACAGGGAGTAGAGGAGGTGGAGGAGCAGTGACAGGGAATACGGATAGGATGAAGTTGAGTGACAGGATATATAATATAAGAGATATTTGGTAGTTTTGGTGTAGTTGTGAGTGAGGTGAGCAGCAGAGGGAATAGAATTAGGAGGCACATCCCCAGCTGCTAAATGCAAGGCCAGAAAGAAGGTGGGAATAGGACTTAAATCTAAGTCTTGGGTTTTGGGTTTTAGAGGAAGGAGTGGAAACGTTGATGTGTGATAAATTGCATGGTGTGAAACATGGGGTGCAGGAAGTAAAAAAGGAGCAATGTAGATTGAGTTACATAGCAGTGGTATTTGGAAGGAAAGGTGTACTTTTTGAAAAAGAGAAAAAATGGAAAGGGAAAGGAGTAATAATTGGATAAGCAGCTTATACAGACTGGGAAATTGTGTGTTAGGTAGAGTAGCAGTGTGTCAGCAAGGCAGGAATTGTAGAGAATGAAAGATGAACAGAGTGAGGTATATTAATGTGTATAAGTCATTTTTTCTGTGTTACAAATAAATGTTTATGCCCACGTTTCATAAACGAAGAGCTGTTACTTCCCAGCATTTTAATATTATATGTTGTTGTTCCTATATTATATATGTATTTGTGAGGTGTTAAAATAAAATTAAATGTGGAAATTCACACCTATTTATTCTGCCACTTGGTTCCTCCATTTTAGCTCCCTGTCAATCATTATTAGTTAGCTCTATCCTTCGCACCTATCAGTCAGCATATAAAGTAAATACAGAGAAGAGCAGAACTTAAACAATGTATTTCTCCTCTTTCGCAATGTTTACCCTGGCTTTGCCTTATTTGCAATGGATTTTGATAACGTTTGTTAAATCTTTTATATAAATTTATACTGGAGAACCTCATGGAAAAAAAAAGATTAATTCAAGTTATAAATCAATTTCACAGTTTTATACATTCTATTGAAGTGACAATTCCCCTTTAAAGGGAAGCTATTTTGTTCTCTTCGGTACGAGTATTTATTAATATAATGATAAGCCCTGAAGCCTAGTTTATTATCTTTAAATGATTGTATATATATTCTGCAGGGTATAATGCCAAAAAGGGTTACTTGAGTCATCTATGACTATTAGGTTTACCCTGTTGAGTCAGAATTGTGCCTGTGTAGTAGCCCCAGGCCTGCACAACTTATCTAAGCTGTCTTGGTGATTTCTGTGTCCCCTGGGCACAACTCCCAATTATATTTCAGTATAAAACATCAAGGGTGATATAAGAAGGTCAACTGTGCCACTTACATGGCTAATTAAGTAATAGAAGGTAACTGAATTGGTATTTTACCCCTCTAGGCAAATTTATACACAAGCAAGCAATATTAGGAAGAATCTATACTGGAAGAACATTTATTTTTACTAGTAATACAAGGTCTGAAGATCGGGTGTATAGGGACATCTAGTTCTGTTGAAACTGATTTTCAGTTTAGTGCATTTTTGGATTAATTGCCTTTGATCATCTACTTTAAAGGGGCAGTCCTCACATGCTTGGTGAAATGTGTAGGTGTGATGGAATTCCAGTAAAATAAAAGTTTAGTAGGCCAAGATTGCCACATGGCATATGTAGGTACATGTGTTTGTAGTATCAGTTAGTTAGTTGCACGTAGCTAAGATACTGTCATCCGTGTACTGAGCATGTGCAGGAATGTACGAACTGAAATCACACTCCCTTCCCCTTTGTTTCGTATGAGCCACGTGGTCAGACCGGATGTGCAAGTTTAGACTCTGTTCATTGATTGGTTGAGGGTATGTGTGGGTGTAGCTATTTATGGGAGGAGCTATAGTGCTATATAAGGAATGTACTCCATGTGTTCGGGGCTTAGATCTGTTGTGGAATGTTAGTCCATCTGAGACCCGATCGGTACGTGAATAAAGGCCTCTTATTTCCTCAATACCTGTGTCCATCTCTCTGTGTTTGGCTTCTGCACACTTCCACGGTTACATAGGTTGGATGAAAGTTAAAGGGACACTGTAGGCACCCAGACCACTTCAGCTCATTGAAGTGGTCTGGGTGCAATGTTCCATGTCCCTTAACTCTACAGTGGTAATTAGTGCAGTTTCTAAAAAAAACTGCAATAATTACCTCTGAGGGTAACTCCTCCTCTAGTGGCTGTCTACCAGACAGCCACGCGAGGGACTACCGGAATTGAAATGGAGCTTTGGTCCGTTATCTGACGCTGGACGTCTTCACGCCCTGCATGAGGACCTCCAGCGTCAGATTTTCCCCCATAGGAAAGCATTGAATAATGCTTTCCTATGGGGAAATCCTAATGTAAGCCCGGCAATTCCTGCACATGTGCATTTGGTGCATTTGAAACCTGCGGGGGAGAAGCGCGGGCGGAGCCTGATCCAGCACTGAGGGCCATCGGCGCTGGGTTCAGGTAAGCGACACAAGGCAGGGATCACAAGGGAGGTGGGCACTGCCAGAGCCTATAGTGCCAGGAAAACGGGTTTGTTTTCCTAGCACTAGAGAATTCCTTTAATTATGCTGAAAGATATTTGATTAAAGGGACAATGTAAGCATTGTAACTGTTTAATCTCATTTGAGTGGCTATAGTCCCATGTTGCTTTCCTTTCATTTAGTATTAAACTTCATTTTGACATGTTTTAATGCACACCTCTGCGTGCTGCTTGGGCTAATGAGGAAGCATTAGCCTGAGCAGCAACAGGCAGTTGTGATTGGCTGAGAGTGTCAGCTGACTGCATTCAGCTTATCACAGCACCCATTGCTGGTTTTAATTGGCATAGCTAAATGTTATATCACACTCGTTATAGGAAGCGAATGCAAGGAGTATTATATCACACTCGTTATAGGAAGCCAATGCAAGGAGTGTTATATCACACTCGCTCCTGCCACATAACACCTGTTCTCCACTCCCTGCATTGGCTTCCAATTAAATGGCGAACATATTTTAAAATTAGCCTGCTGACCATCAAAGCCTTAAACAATCAAGGCCCACAGTACCTCAAAGAGATCCTGACACTCTACATTCCATCCCATTCACTTCGGTCAGCCAGCAGTACCTCAAAGAGATCCTGACACTCTACATTCCATCCCATTCACTTCGGTCAGCCAGCAAATTCCTCCTGTCAGTGCCAAGAATAAAGACAGACTCAGGTTCCAGGGCATTTAGCCACACTGCCCCTACCTTCTGGAACTCTTTACAGTGTGCAATCAGAGAGGCACCGTCCTTACAGACTTAAAAAAAAAAAAAGAAAAGCTACAGACCCACCTCTTCCATCAGGCATTCAGTCCGCTCATCTGACCATCAGAAACTCCAAACTTTGATGTCTTTATGTTTGTATATTTGTAAAGTGTTTTGAGTCTTACAGGGAGAAAAGCGCTATAAAAATCGCCAATTATTATTATTATTATATATCTGCCTTTGCCATACCTTAAGTAGAAGCCGGCCGTGGGTGTACAGGAGCGTTAAACTGCTTGAAAATGGTTTTACACTGAATGGAGGGACTGTGTCTGGAGACTCCAGGCACTATAACCAACCCAATGAGATTAAATCGGTTTAGTGCCTACAGTAATCCTTTAAAATTCCTTAGATTTTTAAAAGCGTAAAGATGAACTATTCTTTGTCCCTTCAAGCCAGTAAACTCTATTTGGGCATTTACTGATGTTTCCCTGGAATGAGGTTAATTAGAAGTAAATTAATCTCTCCCAATTACTCTTCAGTACTTACATATTGTACCTGTATTCATGGTTGAAGTAGGATTTGTCACACACCCTAGAATTCTGAACAAAAACAAAAACACATATAACCTCCAGAAACACAACAAACAACATCCAACAAAATAGTATTGGGATAATATTTTACATATGTAACATCTATACATCCAGCTTGATTTACAGCTAATTGTGAAGAGCACAGAGTTTTCATTTTTATGATTATTTTTTTAACAACATGCAGATGTAGCATAGGCTTTTCATGCGATTTAGTAGGGTTGACTGTAAAGTCATTATGGACATTATGTGGAATTTAGATTTACTTTCTTGAGCAATAGGAGTTAATAGGTATGTTCATATGACAGCTCTCAATCAAAATGGTTAAAATCAGTTATAGCTATTATCTACACTAGTGATGTCCTGAACGGTTCGCCGAACGGTTTGCGAACGGTTCGCCACGGACTCATCATTGAGTAAACTTTGACCCTGTACCTCACAGTCAGCAGACACATTCCAGCCAATCAGCAGCAGACCCTCCCTCCCAGACCCTCCCACCTCCTGGACAGCATCCATTTTACATTCATTGTGAAGCTGCATTCTTAGTGAGCTGTCCAGGAGGTGGGAGGGTCTGGGAGGGAGGGTCTGCTGCTGATTGGCTGGAATGTGTCTGCTGACTGTGAGGTACAGGGTCAAAGTTTACTCAATGATGAGTCCGTGGCGAACCGTTCGGGAAACCGTTTGGGACATCACTAATCTACACTCAAGCAGACATTCCACTAAAAAGCAATTTGTTCTGTAGCAGTAGCTTAAAGTACTTAAAGCTGCAAGACACTGGACTGAAACCTCTTTAATTAATTTCTGCTTTAAATATACATATAAAAAAGAACAGCAATTCGCTTTGTAAATGTTCTTGTTTAAAAGTCCATGTCATTGCCGTCATTGTAACTGCATGCCATTTGTAGTGACATCCATTAGTACACTGCTGTAACTTGTATTGTAAGGATGTGTAGAACCCTATGATATGGGGTTAGAGGTATCCCAGATAGGGATAAAGAGGATTAATGTTAAGGGTAGGGTCATCATGTCCACCATGTTTTCAGGGACAAATATAATTTTGTCATATTTATGAAAACAAATGTATAATTGCATATTCTGCAGTATTCTTCATTGCCTAATTATTTAATCTTATAATTCTTCTGAAACTCTTTTCATGTGCTGACCAGAATATGAATACATAAAAACATGGTGGATGTGGTAAACCTAGTTAAGAGGGACATCTAACTCAAAATTTTACCCTATGACATGAGGCTTCCTATTTTGCATTACTTGCTTTACTCCAAACTCCAGCAGCAAATATCCATATAAAAGATTAACCAATCAAAACTCAGAAAACACAGGATATATAAGGCTGAGTCTGCCCATGTTCCTCCTCTTTCTTTGTTGCTCAAGCAGGATACAGGTCAGAGTATTTGCTCCTGCTGTATTTTTTTTTCCTTACAGCTTGTTATTGTATATTTTGATGTAATCCTTCTGTCACTTGTGGGTTTTATTTCAGATACTGTCCCCTCCACCTGTCTCCCCTCCTTGCCTGACTCTCTCTGCTCTGTTGGGGTCTGTTGCTAGGCCTCAGACTTGGGCCTCCCTCTCCCTGCAGATTACCTGGTCCTTCTGCCTTTCTCACGCCATGACCCGCGCTGCCGTGATCCCAGCGCTTTACCTCTCTCTGCTCTCCCCTTCAGGCAAGCTGGGTGGGGGGCCTCTCTAGGGTAGTAAGGGTGCTTGCAATCTTTCTAATGGTTCCCGGGACCCGGGGGAGTTGTTCACAGCGACCATCTTGGATCTCGTTACAGGCCGTGCTCTGCTAACGCCTGTACTTACCTGTCGCTGGATTGAGCTGTCTCCTGCTCTGTGGACTCCACACTCCCTCTGCCTGTCACAAGGACCACTCTGCTCTCTAAGGATTGCTGCAGGATCCTCAGGTGCTTAATCCCACTGCTGTGATTTTATGCTTTGTTGCCAAATGGGTTATTGTGAATGCCTTTTCATTGCTATACTGCTCAGACAGTAATACATGCATAAGCCTGCCATACTTACAATAGAAAGTACAATACTTGTGCTATTGATGTGGCCTGTCAGTGCAGACTTTCTGTAACAACTGTGCGCAGGGGTGAGCCCCCCTGCAAAATTATACCCTCTGCCTAATTTAAACCCGGCTTCTATGCCATATGGAAATTGATAGGGGTGAAACCCCAGATTAGTGGTACTTCTCTCCATCTCCACTCATATATGCTACCCATTCAGGTACCTCCCTGACCGAGGTGTTTTGCCCTCTTGCTTTTGGATACTCTCAATGCCTCCCCATATTTACAACGGGAACAACCCCCTTTGTGTATTACCAGCCACTCCTACCGACCGGCTTTGCAGGCAAGGCCTATACATACATAAATACGGCCTTTAAATGTGAACCCCATACTGTATATTGCAGGGGGGTCTCTCCAACAGCCCTGACTTACTAGCAGGTGGAGTTACAGTGTCCTCTACTTTACAGGACGACACGTGATGCAATATGTCAGACTCACCGCAACAGAAGCAGGACTTCCAGTCCATTATCAGTGCTGCGGTGGCGACCTCCATAGAACAGGTCATATCTAAATGCTGACGCACCTCCCTCCGGATAACACCTCCCCTACTATTGGAACCGGAGTATAGAAAAGAGGTTGTCTTGGGCTCAGAGGTTTCCAGAAAGGACGTCCTGCCTAAGTGGCACAAGAAGGGCTCCCCTGGGCCCCAGCCTAAGGGGAAAGGATCGCTCAAGCGCTCCAGACAAGTGGCGTTAGCTGAACCCCTTCCTCCAGTACCCTCCTCAGATGAGGAGGATGAATACCATCCTGAGTCTCTTGACATCCTGGATGAATGGAGGGTGGAGGACTCTGAATCGGTGCAAGAGGGCAACTGGCAGGACGTGCCATCTTCGGACTCCAAGTTCCACAGGGAATCCCTCAAGGGTAATGTAAGGGCTACCCCAGTGGAGAGGGGGTATCAGCCGTTGGAGACGTCCTTTTTCCCTGGCAAGATGCTGTGCAATGGAGTAGCCTTCTTTCTATCAGCTGGATCCAAGTAGAGAGAGAGAGGTAGGTTCCCT